TCTAAGCAAATCATCACCAAGCGGTAGCGCAGGGTTGGGTCCCTGTCAATCTTGGAGAAGTGCTTTGCATTTCGTTGGAGCAAAGCATAGCCCAAATCGATTGACACCCAGTGCTAATCGGTCCAGTGCTGTTTGGCATGTTTGAGAGCTGTCACAGATTAGGGCAATATCGTCCGCATACTCTATATCAAGAAGTCGCTCACCACGAAGTAGCTCCACACCTTCTGGGTCGTGTCCAGCGAACGCTGTTTCCTTGCCTTCATCAATATGGAGGTTATAGAGGAAAGGTGACAGCGGGCAACCTTGTCTCACACCGCCGGTGATACTGAAAGGTGGCGACAGTTTGGCATAAACCCTCACTCTGTTCGAACTATGCGCGTACACCGCTTTGATAATGTTTACATATTCATCAGGCACACCTTTCCTCAGCAGACAGTTCCAATGGGCACGTCGATCGACTGAATCGAAGGCATCTTTCATGTCAAGAAACACGACAACGGTGGGTCGCCAATAAACATGGCGGTGCTCCAACATTTGACGCAATGTGAGGATGTGGTCGATGCAGCCTCGACCTCGACGAAATCCGGCTTGCTCTTCACAGATGTGGCTTTCACGAGTGCCAGTCAGCCTGTGGAGAATGACAGAGGCAAGCAATTTCTAGGCAATCGAATTCAGACTGATCACTTTATGATTGCCGCATTCCAAACGGAGTTTCCCTTGAAAATTGGGACAATGACGGAGCGGTTCCAGTCTGTCGGGACAGTCTCCTGCTCCCAAAGTTTTACTAGCAACTCGTGTATATCATCTACTAGAGCAGGTCCCCCGAATTTGAAGAGGGCTGGGGGAATTCTATCTGCCCCTGCGGCCTTATGCAATTTCAACAGCCTGATCTCACGTTAGACTTCTGCGCTTGAGGGCGGATCCAAGGAGACGGCCCAGGGAGAAGGGCGCTCAATGCCCGAAAATGAAACCGGTAACTCAGGTTGGTTAGATTGCCTTGCAAAGTGTTCAGCCCAACGCTCCAAACGTTTTGACAGGCTGTGGGTCGACTGCCCACTCTCGTCGCCTATGGTCTCGCTAACACCAGGTTTCCTGCTGCCTGTTTCCCGTATCAGACGGAATAATTTACGGTGATTACCAACGGCAGCGGCGGTTTCCATCTCAGAGACACGATGAGACCACCAGGTTTCGCGGTCCTTCTTCAGGCTAGCCAGTAGTTTTGCCCTGAGATTGTTGCGAGCCTAATCGTATTCACTTCCAGCCGGAATACGTCAGCGAGCATCCATAAGTTCCAGAGACTGTGTAGGGACCCAATGTCCGGTTTGGTAATTTGCTTTGCCATATGAAGACATGCCTGCGAACAGTGACGTTTAACGAATATGCGAGCAGTGATCTTCGACTGTGTTTAGTGGGCGGTTTCTCAGCCCAGATGTCAGCGCACTTTGATACACATTCAGAACATCTGGCTTCGCCAGCTGGCTGGTGTCAATCCGTTCACATCGATATTGTGGACGTCCACCGAAACGCATCCGGAGGTCGGCACAGACAAGTGCGTGGTCAGAGTCCACGCTCGTGCTTCAAATCGAGCGACAGTTTTGGACACAGCCCCTCCAGCGGTAACTGATCGCGATATGATCGATTTGCATCCATGGCTGGCTGTAGGCTGCTGCCCATCAAGTCACGCTTCCGCGCGGGCTGTTTCGAAAGTTAGTGCTCGTGAGAAAGAGGCGAGAATCTTCACACAGCTGCAGCAATCGCTCACCGTTATCATTACTCGAGCCTACACCATGTTGGCCGCCCAGATGAAGCTCATCAGAGGACAATTTTCTGACTTGGGCGTTTAGATCGCCAGTCAACACCACAGTATCCGTGCTTCTTCTGTAACGAAGGAAATGATTTCGTTGCTGATAAGAATCATCTTTTATCGAATCTGTGCTACAGTTTGTAGGGGTGTAGGCCGCAATGACAAACAGTCGCCGTTTGTCCCCGCGCGACTTCGTAGCACTGAACGAACCAGCTAATCTAACGGCGCACATCCTACTGTTTACTGGAATCCAATCGATCAGGGCAGCTTTAGTCCGGGGACTCAAAACAATGTCGACGCCAGCTTGACCGGCATTTGAAGCTGCATCGTCGGCAGACAGGCGCCAGTGTCGCATGTGGGGGATCGCAGGGTAAGCACGGAGCTTGAACCTTGCAGGCGGGTTCCTGATAAACAGCAAATATCGATCGATAGGGTCTCTAGTGTGCAGGCAAGTGCTGCCTTTTGGCCAATCTGTATCAAAGTGCGTACCTTGAGGCATGCCAGTCTTAGCGAGACGCGAGGACTCCAAATGGAAACGGATGAACTGACGTTGCCCGCTTGGTTGAACATGGACTTGTCGACTGGATTGGAGCGGCGCCCTGCGACGGTATGATTTGAAACTAGAAGACAAGAGACTATTGAAGCAAGCTGGGGGAGGGCCAAGAATTGAGGGATTGGAAATGGGGGCGAAAAAGGTACAGTTGGAGCGGGACGATAAGGAGCAAGAAACGCAAGAATGGGGATAAGAGGACGGGAAGCCCTGAGCAGTAGCATCCATACCCCTATCCACCCTGCTCGATGCAGCAGATAGGGCGCCATTTATTATCCTCTGCGACGTCCACAGCATCAAGAAATTGTTTGATGAAGGGTTCATTGTATTGCGTGGGCAGAATACTCTCAGGTTGCCCAGCCCTAGACAGGAGAACGATTAGGGTTCTCAACCAAAGCCTATGGTTCAAAAACCTTACCGCAAGGCAGCGGGTTTTGGCGCTGGACTACAGAGAGCGCGTTTCATGAAACAAGGAGCCAGCCTCATTTCAACCCCCAACCTGCAGGACCAGGAGGCTGAGTTTGTCTGGCCTCTAACTATTGACTAATCTGGTATGAGTGGCTCTGAAGGTGCAAAAAAAGCACCACCCACCATAGCTCAATGGATCTCTGAGGCACTCAAACCATCACACCACGGTAAGGTGCAGCTTCATTGCAATGGGTGAACCAATGTGGTTTTGAAGGTATCACTCGCAAGCGAAGATGTGGGCGTCAATTCAGTTAGTTGATGCATTAGGTGTTCGAATTGGGTCTCGATATAAACTTGCTCCTTGACAGGTTGTGAAAAGCAAAATTTTGGTCCAAGTGACAAAGCCTCTAATTGTAGCTGATTAAGTTGTACACTGGAAACGTTGTGGACATATCTTTCTGGGTGCTGCGGAGATTTTTGTTCCAGGTGCGTCGGTTGCAAACCCTTTAACAATTTACCGCACTTTTTCGCATTTTCGCGAATTCCTTCAACGTATTGCTCGAATGATTCGCGTTGTATACTATCAAGCTCTACAACAGCTAAGCGGTCACGAGAACATAGCCGTTCTAGCTCCGGGATTCGCGATTGAACAGATTCCGTCGCATTGCAAGCGTGCTGATTAAGTACCTTGCTCCTCGGCCGCAAGTGAGACCTTCTAAGTGACTTCCAAATAGTTTTCGGAGACTGGTTGCGCTCCAGACAATCACGTAGAAACCAAATTTCAGTTTTCGCATTCGTAAGCCTCGCGCTAAACTTCAAATATTTGTTGAAGTCAGAAAACGCTGTGGGCTGCTTGCACATTTTCAACTCATGAATAATGCCCATTTTAAGATAAGAATTCCAAATAGCGAAGATATCTCTTTTCGATTATTTTCATCAGGCCATTACAGTAGTATGAAAAACATACAACTTGGTAAACTGCTGTCAGCTACGCTGAGGACAGCTAAGTCAGTAAGTCAGATCGATGCCTAAGTCGATTCACTTAGGGTAGGCCTCGCAGCCGATTGTACGCTCTCCTCGCCGTAGCTGACAGCCGCTTACCACGTTGTATGTTTTTCTGATTACTGTAATGGCCTGATGAGAATAATCGCTATTTGGACTTCCTACAGAATTGTATTTCATGGCTGTTAGCTAGAAGAAGGTTGTAATCCAACTTCTGCGCATTGGTCGCTACGGGAAGGCGTCCAGGGCATGAACCCACAGCACACTATTTGGAGCCGTTGGTGGACCATCTGTCCGAGACGTGCCACGGCAAGCCTCAGGGCACCATAGCCACCATCGAGACAGTTACATGACGCCTGCGCCTACAGAGGGACCATAGGTGGCTTGCACTGCATCACCCACAGCTCTATCCACACACCTCATATCCTGCTCAAATCCGAGGGTATAAGACTGGAATGAATGTGGATTGGAGCCACGTTTCATCAATGGAGCCGGTCCACACTCCTTCAACATGCACAGCAACATTCATGTCCATTTGTGAATCATGCATACCAGACGTACACAAAATGGTGGTTGGCCACTGTCCGTAACACCGTTCACGCGTACCCTGCAGCCAGTCCCCTCCAACAGCGACCAGTTTTCTCCTAGAAAAGTTGACCTACTATGCGCATGCCTATATGCAAATCACTTTGTATTTAGCGGTAAACCACAACATACTAACTAAATGCTTTCATAACCATCGTACTCATAAAGCCCTTGGGGACAAGTCTATCACTCTTCGATTGAACTTATGTATGAATCCTTAATACAGAATAATGTAATTGGTATATTCCATCGAAGTGCAAAACTGAATGAACAAGATGGCCAGCCGAATACGTGCCACACCCACTGCGCATTTGGCCGCACCAGGCAAAGTCGTCCTCCTGCGCAACTGCTGCGATCGAATTATCAAGTCTTCGGCTTTGTGCTGTTTGAATGTTGTACACCTAACCTCATGCATAGTACTCAGATGTTTTCGTTTTTGCCGACACATGCCTATGCCTCTTCTTCCTCTCTTATATTTCGAAATGCTCACATACTGTGAGCCATTGTTTTACATTTCGAATCCTCGAATTTCGCAGCCATCATTGCGTATTGATTATGCCGCACATACTTTAACAAATCATCCTCTATTCTGCACTAGATTTCCCCGTGTGGTTCTTCGGTATATGATGTGCTCCTGTTCATTTTATTCAGACCAACGCCCCTATTCATGCGAATACTGTAAACAATTGTTTACCGAGAAGAACCATGTGCGAAGACATATCGAAACCGTTCATTTGAGTGAGTGCATAATTTGATTTTATGGCTTGCCTTGTAGCATCGCTGACTATTTTGCTTGGCTTCGGTGCTATCAACGCTGTTGTGTCTACATCATTCAGAGACATCTTTATTTGCATGAAGTTTAATTTGCCTAACTAACCTGATGGTGTGCAGGTGAATGCATTAGATCATTTCACTCTGAACGTACTGGTCTCTAGTGGGTCATTCTTCGTATTTGTCCAGATTCGCTTTGCGGATAATCCTGATCTAGGTTGAGCTTCCATGTCCAGTCACTACGGATACTCTTGACAGCAGTCATTTGAATTGATGCGTCGCTGATATACAGCCACAAGGACTAATGTAACGATAAATAATATCTGGGAAAGATGGTGGACCTATGGTGAACATGTAACTCCCCATGCAAACTTTTAGGGTCACGGCGCCTACATTTTTTCAACAAAATAGCGTCACAGACAGCTGGCTATCGTGTGGATCTCTGGAAGTATCAGCGAGACTCCTTCCTTACACCTGTTCCTGCCCTGTATCATAAGCAGTTGTTAACTCGCGGCTAACTCGGTACCACACATTATCTGGACAGCCACTGCTCTCTACAATGGTAGGAATCTGCATGGCAGTGAAGTTTAGTTACGCTATTTCCCATTAAGCTTGCAAATTGAGGCGGTATGCCTCTCTCCCTCATGACTCAATAGCATAAGCTGCTGGCTAGTTGGCGTTCGGTGCTAGCGGTCATGAGTTCGACTCCTCGGGTTCGATCCCACTCAGGAAACCTAATGAATGCGCACCACTGACGAGGTACAATAGGGCGGAATGATTGTGTGGTGCCTTTCTGGACTAGGGTTTGACTATCTAGTTTGTAGGTATCTGGGAGGGATCAAATACATTTTAAGCAGTCGGTCCAGCTTCCAGGCAATAACAGACACGCCGCTGGTATCGACTGTGAGTCATGTCCAGTTAAGTCTATTACCAAGCACATGGCTTGTCATGTGGACTGCAGCTGCAAATCGATACGGGTCAACAGCGCCCAGTTTTGCATTTCATTATGTTACTCTTTATAGCTTTTTAGTCTACGTTGCTTATTGTGATACGGTAGCTGATGAGTGTTTCTCACCCTCGGCTGACGTGTATTGATGATGAGGAGGAAGAGGAGGAGGATGATGGTGAGGATGGTATTGGTGACGATGATGATGATAATGATGAGTTTTGCAGTCAGTAACTTCACTTCTTACTGCCGAGTTAACTTTTACCTACCTCGAGCCTTGTTTTAACTTGCACATGACAAACAGCACTAGGCTGTTCATTAAGCAACGACCGTACATATGTAGTACGTACCGAGGCCAGCGAAGCTTATTCAGTGCTATCTTTTGTTCTAAGCACCTAGCATGCTTATCAGTGCTCAACAGTCGTCTACGTACGTCATAATTTTAGACACTCTTGTGCCATCCGACACCAGAAATGCTTCGCAAGCAACGTTGATCAAAGTCTTTTATGCGCCTGAATTTCTCAGGCTGATGTGACCAATTCTCAATCCCATATCGTCGAACGGTTCGCACTGTGGCCTTGTACACTTTCATGCATATTGAGGAGAACTTCCTCCTAACGCCACAGATGTCTCAGATTCACGAAGGCAGTTCTAGCTTTTGCAATGCATGAACTGCTTTTGCGTCTGTCATTGCTGGTTCACGTTCCAAAGTAAGGGAAATGATCAACTACCTCGAGTTTTTCGTCATGAGAGGTCAAGCGGTTATCAAGTGGCTGGTGTTCTTGCAACAACACTTTGCACTTTGAAGGTGCGAAACACGTGTCAAATAATATGTCTAAGCTAGTATAATTATCCATGGTCGACTGAATCATCCCAACGTCGTTAAACAGAAAGACAACCTCGTGCGCATAGTTGAGCTCAACTGGTTTTCCACCTCGCAGCACTTGAATGCGTGCATCGTGAGATGCCACAATGGAACACTCTATGATTGATTGCACAACAAAGTTGAACAAAAGTGGGATATTTTATGAACTCCCCTTATTGCCATGCAGACATGCGGCAAGTCTCTGTGTACCCTGACGCGACCTGTGGTGTTCCAACACTGCAACTAAAATGGAATCATCTCCGAGCATATTGGATCGATCGACTGAGTCAATCCCTTTCTTCACAGGTCACCTAATGGAGAGCTGCCCTTTGCCCTTGCACTGTCACGTAGACCGGGCACACTATCCCTCCTGAGGGCGATTTGCTACTTCGTAGAGTCTGTCTACGAGATGATGGTCTCGAGTGTGCCGAACTTTCGTTCGCATTCACGTCGAACTCAGTCAAGTCTGATGCAACGCACGAAGAATCAGCATCAGCCAGCTTCTGTCAGGTTCACATCAACTAATTGGCCTTTCACATTTGCTATTAAGGTTTACCGCGTGCAGAGCACAGTTTGCGCACAAGTTTGTTTATTACAATACTCTTCACTTTTGCTCACACTTGACACATGAGGTTTTAGTACAAATGATTTTTGCTCGTGTATGTAAAAATGCGAATAGTCGCTCAGCTGATTATCTGTACAGTTTCCCCGTGCTATGAACTGATGTTTCTCTGCCAGATCGCGCCGATATGAATTTGCATACGTTTTTTCGAATTCATGTTCTGGATTTGTCGCTTGCGATTTGTCAGGTTTCGCCAGAGGTTCTCAGAATTCCTGCAAAAGTGGAGGATATGCTGCATGGCTGCGTAAAGGGATGCATTCATAAAGCATCCATACACGCACTCACAAGCGCGATGCATGTGTCTGCGTTATTTCACGGGGTCGTCTGTAGGGATGGTTCGGGCGCGAAAAGGAGGAGTTCATTCAAATGCGCCCCTTATCACGGAGATCACAAGGTTACCACCAGTGGTACCCTGTTCCACCTTGTGCCTGAAATTCGATTTGTTGTGACGGATTGGTGTGCTCTTTGCTGAAGAAAGATCCCCTGTGGTTACTTATCTCGAGAAGAGGTACACCTCCATCTACTGATGTCATTTTGCGGCCCGTTTACCAACATCAAATGGATACAGAAGAGCTGTGTGGTATTTGTTATGGATAATGAGTTAATCGACGAAAGAATCACGAATGTATCTGTAATGACATTGCTGATGGACGCCGGTGTATTTGGTAGCAGCATAGCGTGCTGAGATTGATCATTTTCCTCAGTTAGAAGATTTGCGATAGTTACTACAAGTTATGGACCACCCAACCTCAGTTGGTTACACTGCAGATTCAATTCGCGGTTTCCTCACACGATTCCATGATTGTGATCGTAAAACGTTCTACATAAACGACATAGATGGACGTGCTGCTTGCAATCATCTAGCAGCCTTTTGCTTACATTATTTCCCGCAGTTTTCTCACACCGTTCTCATGTTGATCCGCACTTTCCACCCAGTCCTCTGTTTTGCCCGTTTTCGACCTTTTAGGTTACTTTACTACGGGTATTATACGGCATCGTTCAGGGACCGTCTTTTTCATTCTCAACGTTGATAATAAAAACAAAATATGAAAATGCCAAGTTTCTTGGGCTCGCATTGTTCTCAGATAGTTTATCTGATTGGGCGCAGTGAATCGGAGCTTACGATTTGTTTAATGGGCATTCAACTTCGAATCGCATCTTGCCATGCCGCTCGTTGCTTTTACAGCGGTTTGCCCGTTTAGGTACAGCTGTCGTTTCCGCATTCCATTTCCTGCAATGCTGCGTTGGACACGGCGAGTTAAACTGGTCGCAAACAATCCTGTTCGGCAGATATCTGTCATCATTACGGACATTCACTTCCTGTGGGGTTAAGCGTGTGGCCTCAGTTGGTTTGTTAAAGCCACGTCGGCCTACATATGCTTGGTGGAAATGGCACGTCAGATTAATTACTCCCCGAGGGAGTCCTCGAACTCCTTTGGCTGGGCCACGTGTTGCGCATGCCAGCTTACGACTCCCGCGACGTGCGTTGTTTGCGCGCCAGGGTTATGGGTGGAAAAAGAGGAGAGATGGCCAAGTGATGACTTGGTCCAGAGGAATGAAGGCCCTTACTTCGAAATTGGCCTCGGTTGTAGCCTCTCGTCTCCCTGGTTGGGGAATGGAGGACGATGAACGCGTTTCGCTAGATACACTTGTTGACGTGACTAGGGGCCGACCTCAATGGGGTTTGTGTTGTGAGTTTCCTTTTCCCTCCCCCTCCAACCGCCATCTCAATTTTTAGGGATAATATGACTACTTTGGGGCACAATAGCCGGCTGTTAGCTCTCCGGGACGATGTCCATCCGTTACTGATGAGAGCCGGCGTGCCTCTGTTTCATGCTTTTTCTTTGTATTGCGGCACAATAGCTGAGTTGTTTTCCACCTGCGGCTAACGTGTACAATGGTGCTGATGATGATGAGAAAGCACACTATGTTCTAGATTTTATCTCAACTGCAGTGGACATGACGAGTTCTGTATCCATTGTTTTTCGCGAAAACAAGCCATATAAGTTTCATCACATGCGATTCAGCATGTTCTCCGCAGATCCAACCAGAATGAATTGCGACACAGTCATCTCAACACGTCTCAGGGTGAACGTAACCAACATTTAGCCGTAGATTTGCTTGTTGCTTTTTGTTGTGTGCTCAGCTCCAAATCGAAACCCGCACATATTTATCGCAATTCATTGTAGCTTCGTAACAGACATTTCTCTTGTTGTAATTACTCATTACTCTGTTCTAACTGTCGGCACTTGTATTCAGCCATTGATGGAATTGTGCAAATATAATTACTATACGGTAGGCAACCAGCATTTGCTATGCAATACGGTAGCGACCCGTAACTCATGGGGTGCGCTTTGAATGCTGTTCGTAAACACTTGTCTATCGACGGACGGATACACTCGGTGTCTCTGTTAATGCGACATTTATTTGCAATTCGCTCTCTTTAGAGAAATCAGCGGATGGAACCTGACTGACCCCGTGAACAAGCTGGCGGCCGGTTGTACAATTCCCCTTTTTCATTTATCTCACACAGTATTTTTTGCTTTTTATAAATTTACATCTGTTTAACCATTGTTCTCTTTTGCTATATACTGGTCGGATGTTCAATCAAGCGTTTCAGCTACAGTCTCGGAAATCCGCTCACATTACAGCTCATGGCGGTCAACTTTAGTTCTCATTGCTCACGACTAAAGCTTAGTTTATCATGGCAAACCAGGCCTGCTATAGTGGACACTTTAGGCGGTTGACGAGGCAGGGGCCACAGTATTGTCAGCTCATCGTCTTGGTGATTCGCCTTGCGACCACAGTATATTTCCTACATTTCTGTTGGAGTGAGCTTTGGCAAAGGAACCAAAACCAGCTGGAATATCGTAAGCACAACGACGGAGATCAATCCTTGGCCATGGCGTACCTGACGACTAGTCACCAGCCCAAGCTCATGATTTAAGATTTTGGCGCTACATTTGTGATGTCCCCTCTCTCCATGACTTGATTGCTAGCTCAAGGTCAAGGTTACTCAGTTCACCCGCATATGAAGCGGATGGTCCTATTGTGCTGAAAGTCCTGCAGCCTCCACAATTTGTTTGAAATGGGTTTCCTAGGCTATGACACGTTACGCATACGACAAACTTCAGAATTACCTTTGAAGGTCCTCGATTGGAAGGGAACACAATGCCAGCAAGATCTGTCTCTAAATTCGCAGCCTCCACTTCTAAGCCAAAACGTACCGCAACACTAAGTCTGTCAGAAGATGAATAAACTGGCATTCCATACGATTATATATTTGGTACTCTGCGCGACGGCCTAAATCATCCCCGAGTATAAACCAGAAAGCTGCCTAATCAGCGATTGTCAGTCAGCCATGCAATTGTCAGTTTAAATTCGGGCAAAATGTTTGTGCATTCTGATGCGATTCCGGCTTCCGAGTCTGTTAATTGCTTGTATAACAACGCACAAGGACTCATCAGCAGATTGGCCTAAGTTTGATCTCGTCCAGCCTCCGCGTCTTGAGACCTAACCACGACCTTAGAGACGTGGCTGCTTGATGTGATTCCCGACGCTGAAGGTACTGAGGAATCTAGCGTCATCAGCTTCACTAGCTAGGGCTAAACACATCAAAAACTAAAATCCACCGCGCGGAAAGGCTGAAAATTTCCCAAGGTGCACCACTCGCATGTTCATGTTATTGGAGTACTTGGATTAGCTGTCCCACATAATCTCTCCGTGCGAGGAAACCTGTTATGACAATACCACTCAAGGAAACAACTATGTCAACCTGGTCCGAGAGGATAGACCAGAGTATTAGCACGCCCTTATGAGTAGATGTTGCTCTAACCCCAAACTGCTATTTAACTAATTTATCAAACCTCGTAAAGTTAAGCAGGGAATTCCTGCTCTGCGCAAGAGGCGACCAACATTCCCAGACAGCAACTTAACCGCACTTTCCAACTTGTACAATCCCTCTACCACCTACTCTCGCGGATAATGCTACCGTCAGGTCTCCTTATATACCCTCCGCAATCACCGATATGCTGCATTGGCCGGTATTTTTGCCGCGTAAGGCTCTCCTAATGCAGACTTTATCTGTCGGAAGGCGCACAGCGTGGCTGCCATGTGTCTAGCCGAACCCTCTGCTCTATCCTTTCAACCATGTCCTAACGGTAGACATCGGCCAACAACGTGCAGGCACAAGATCATCACTCCAGTCTGCAAAAGGGGTACATGTGCAGAACTAATAAATTATCCCCCAATAACACTACTTCTGGTGATCTACCAGATCGTGGATTCCACTGTCGGTGAGGCGTTCATGAGTTACCTGGAGAGTAACAAATTCTCACTTCTGAGCAGCATGGGGGGGCAAGAAATGCTGGTGATTGGAAACGCTATAAGGCCAATCTAACGTCACAGGCCAGACTGATAAGGCGTAAGCATGTTGCCGGAAGCAGATTAGTTCGCCAATCAGGAGCTAGTTGGCCCGTAATCGCGACCACCATGCAAATATCCACTGAACGTGCAAGTGACCAACCAGATGCCAGCAGACGAAGGAGCGTATACTCGTACACCCTTGAGCCAAGGCTTATGACAATGAACCGAGGGAAGAAGCTCGTGGGCCCAGTCCCGCCAATCGTACATCGACTAAGTAAGCCAAGGTGCTTTAGACAGAGTGAACGTCGCGAGCAAGGATAAACCAGTGGAAAGGGAGCCAACGACAAAATGCAAATAACTGGGATGAGCCATTGAGATGGACTGTTGTAAATAATGTACATACTCAATAAGTATTCGAGCGTAATCTTACTAAATGACTTCGTGATCGCGGCCCAGTCTTCTTGCTTCCCGGAAGGCTACTTACCATGTCATCAGAGCATTCACGGCTACTTGTTGGTAACAATTTCCACTGCGAGCTTCTCATAAATGCGATCGCAGCATACTCGTGCAAGGTGATCTAGGCTGTTTGATGCGGACTGAAAAGGCACTAAGGAAAGCAAGGCAGTACTCCGGACAGCAACGTAGGGCGTTCTAGATTTTTGACTTCTTAGGCCTTCCGAAAATGCTTTACCCTGCGTCAATCCGCCATCAGAATACGCTATCCAAGCGTGGCAGCCCCGGCAGAAGCACCATCACACCGTGCTTGAAGCTGCACAACGCAGGGCGACGATGAAAGTCCAAAGCTTGTCCCACTTTCCCTATGCACTAGCTTAAAACCATTTTAATTTAATACTGCCATTATCGTCGTCTACGTAGTGATCTAAGGATGGTGTTTAAGGCCCTAAGGAAACCTCACACGCCACCATATTCTGCAACTCAGCCAACACAAGTCTCTGATAAGTCATCAGCTTGATTTGCCTACAGTTCATGGCTGATTGGGCTGTCGGCGGGGCGTGTACCTTCCCTGAATGTCAAAGCTTGGGAGCTCCCTCATCCGGCACATGTAATAAATGTCCACAATTTGTCACTATTCAAAAGGCGCCCTGGCAGTACATTGACACGTTTCCACAGCACGCTATAACGAATAGAACGACGTTAAACCAGAAAAACAGTGGACGATGTCATTTCCAATTTTAAGTAGAGGCAAGGATATTCACACTTGTGCTACTCTACACCTCTTGGTGAGTTGTGTCTGGGACGCTTATCTACACCGGCCTTTTTGTTGTAATCTTTGCCGTAAGCATTCTATAGGGCTTGTCGAACATATAGTAACTACGCGGTCAACCGCCGTGCTGGTCGGAATATTTTCGTTGCTCCAGACTTTTCAAAGTTTCGGGCTCTCACTTTTTTCGCACATCGGCCTGGGTACCCTCATTTAATCGGGCTCGATCAGGCCTACCTATTGCATAAACTTTCTCGAGGGTACTATAAACGGATCAACGTCAAACCTCGGTTTTCAACTTTGACTGTTTCAGCACAGTCGTTGGTCTACGAGTGCACCACATTTCTACCTTCATCAAGGATTTTGGAGTTATCGGAAAGCTAACTGCTAGGTCTACTTCAAGAGACCTAAACCAACTCTGGCGGTAGCTGCATAAGGCAACTAGAAGCAATTGCATCTTCGTACAGTGCCTTGGTTGCCCAAGAGGTCTCACGCCGCAATGTGAATCACGTTCTATCGAACGCACACAAATCTCTTTGTTCGGCCGGATTTGTGCGTGTGCGCCTGTTGGAACATGCAGCATAACGTGAGGCGGCACTCCACGGAGTTGACCTCAGGGATACCTGGGCACAGATCCGTCGATTACTGAAGGACAACCTACACTTGGCGGAATTTGGACAACTGAGTGCTCTTACAACCGGTTGGTTTGTATCGATCGTTGCATCTGAAACCGTGGCCTGTTTGTACCCATGTGATTCTCATTCACTTTCGCTAGGTCGTATAAGCCCTACAATCCTAGTCTGTTTCCTCGGTGGTTTGCCGCTAACTGTTTGATTCCTCCTGATCATTGTAACAGAAACGGTGAACTTTGTCCCTATTTTCTTATCCTTGTCCACACAAAATAGTTTTTACAAGCCCTAAAACCGAGTGACCAATCAGTAAAAATGCTCGTTACCTCAGTTAAAACAAGAAACTCAAAGAAGGGACAGGAAACCATTGAAATGCTGGCAAAACATCCTGCTTCTAACCAGTCCGTCAGCACGGAAAAAACCAAAGGCTCATCAGCTAAGATGAATATAAAGCCAAACTCGCACGCAAGAATAAAACAGCAATCAAATGATAGTTCTCATAAGGTTTCTCAGATAGACCATAGCGCAGTTGCTGCAGAATCGCCCTCTAGAGCGATTCAAATGATTGCTGCGCTTGAACTACAGCTGAAGCACTTGAAGGAAAGGTTTGAATCTCTGTACCAAGTCCTAGAGCAATCTAACTCGCTTAAGTATCTTTTTAATACTCTAGATACTCCACAAATGGAACACCATCGCTCCGTTGGGAATCGTATACAACATGTTGCATTTGAGGTGCATGCGCGCATTAAACGCTCCAAAAATGTTATAGCATTTAAGTTACCAGAAAAATTACCTCTTGAGGCTATCACTGCAGTGGCAAACGATTGTCATATCGAAAGGATACAGTTTTCTTGCGTGAGGCTGCGAAAGAAATCCCCGAAGCAAGTCTGTCCAGTACTTCTTAAATTTTCAATCGACACTTGCTGAAAAATTTCTTTGTAGTAGGAGCGCATTATCCCTTAGGAATGATTACACATCCATAGTCCTGAAACAAGCTTTAACAGTACTACAAAGGGAAGGCAAAAATGTCTATTTCCGACAAACAGTCTATGACCTACTTTTTCCGCTACCCACGGAAACTCAGGAACTTCCCCAACTGGTTGACCTAGATGACACTCTGACCATAAATGAATCAGCCCTAAGGTTGAAATCAAATAGCAGCTGGCACAAGAATATCGCTTCTGTCTCGATTCAGTGTCACATTAGTCCAACATTACTGCGCAACTCGTCCCCGAACATACAAGAAAGTTGCAT